CTTGGGAAGTGGTTGGCCAGTTGGTCAGACACGTCCGTAACCCTAAGCGGAGGTTTGACATCGTCTAGCGCGCACGGACTGGTGGGCACGAAATTTAGACACCCGGACCATGCCCCACAGGCATATGAGCAAAGCATGGCCTAGAATAAGAGGTTGCTACAAACGCATGAAACTTCATTCCTTGGACAGTATAAAGTATCGTTTTATATGTGTAGCCCAGATTGCTGCAGAATGCTTTAATCGTGTTAACACAATTTATAATACCATAATCTGTCGACATGCGCTTAGAACAGTCTACCCGTATCGATCATAAATTTGTGTAAACATACTGGCTATGATTAATTCATCCTAAGTAGGTTCGGGTTGCAATTTAGTATGTCTGAAGAGTTGCGGTATGTTGTACAGTTTTCGCGCTGATCGGTTATCAGGCAAATCTCGTCTTTTAGAACACATATCCGGTTTCTGGTGCAAATCCTGAAGTAGTTGTCCATCCACAGTATTTTAATGACATTTAAAACAATGAATGAAGTTCCGACATCTTCCTTTTTCCCCATGGGATTTCGGTTGTCATTCAAAGAAGAACTCTCAGTATAATTTTTACTGATATAGAGGATGCGATCTTCGGTAGCTCAGTTTTCGAATGGTCTGCGGCCACTCACGACCCCCATAACTTTGAGGGCCTCCCCCTGACAGACGTCTAACCATCCCCGAGTTAAACGTTGGTACTGGACCACAAGGAGGGCTAAGATCGGCGGAGAGAGGTAGGGAGTATGGCCATGGGGCTACATACGACAGCCACCCAACCTGCTGTCTACCATGCTAATTCGCCAATCTTTAATTCTGTGCTGCCGTGTGCGTCGTCCGAATATATGGGCTCTGAGTAAGGCTACCCCGGTCACCATTTCGTATACTTGAGAATCTTTATTTTCATACAATCAACAAAGAACTTGCTTGTCTTACAGGATGTATTGCCTTTTATTTTATTAGATTGTGGAAAGTGGGCTGGGCAAAAAAATGCCAGAGGTCCTGAAAAACTGGAAGAATTCCTGGCACCATCTTCCAGACGGGTCTCAGAAAGTGTCGACTTTGCAGTAGCTACCAAAGGCAGACCACGAATTCACCGGAAATCCAGTTCTTCATTCCATGAGAAGGAACCTGCGTTGTATGAGTCGGGCGACTTCAATTTACAGAACCAAAACAGAAGGTTAGCAGTGACTGAAACGAGCCTACGCATGTTGATTATGGTGGTATCATGACCAGGCAATAGAGTAGACCTTTCGAATTTAAATAACCTGTCGAAGAAACTAAGTCTAATGTAATTTTACGATCTTAGCTGATCCTACTCGGATGAAATCCTTATTTGCAAACAATCGCTATTTATGATTTTTAGGTCGTATTGGTTTCAAGGTATCGAAACTGTGCTGCCAAGTACACTGTTGCTAGTATTCAGCCAATTGTAATTAATTTAGTTCACTACTACTTCACTGCTATTAAAGTATATAAAACATGGACTCCTAACGAACTGGCGTGCAGGAGACTTATCGTTGTGGCTTAATTTAATAGGGAAGATCCTTACCGCTGGGATTTTCAGACCCGCTTACCGTGTGAAGAGAAGTGGGACGCCAGACGAGAGGAATAGTACAGATGTAGTAAGGGATAGGTTGCAGGAAGTTGACAGCTAGACAAACGAGCGTCCGCAGCCCAGAGGGTGGCGTCCGAAGTGTGAGAGCGCGATAGTCATCACAGCATTACCAGCGTGGTCATCTGTGAGTCAGCCTAAGGGAAATTATTGACCGACCGGGCTGGGGTCGGTAGACACCGGTGCGTAGGGGCTAACAGTTGCGAGAGGCGAGATGTTAAGGGTTGCAGGTGGAGTTACTTCACTTCAGACTCTCAAGACGTAAAACCACACACAACGACTTTCAAATATCTTTGAAAGAAAAGTTCAGATATTTCTACGACAGCATGAGCTCAAATTCGCAAAACCGAATGATCCACGACGAGCCCTTCTTCTGCCTTAAAGTATCAGCTCCGAAAGTCATCTGGGTGGTTTAGTTTAGGCTAAATGTCCAGGGAGGCGGGTCCGAGCTTCGGGTCTGGATTAAGGTTGGGGCTGACAGTTAGCAACAAAACATTCGCACTGTTGCCAGTTCTTCGTTATGAACCTGTTGTAGATCAGAGCTCTAAGACGGGAAGCAATCTCGGTGGCATGTCCCGCTAACTAACCAGGCCAACATAGACCGCTCATATGTCAGCCTCTGTTCTAAGAAACGTTTCTGCCAGAAGCAAACTGGTGAAATGCAGGAAGTACTTCAGAAGTAGAAGATGCGATCACTC